AAAATAAATCTTGCCTTAAACTTTGCATGTGGATAAGGAAACCATTGCCTATCATCGGAACAAAAGTGGTTTCCCTCAGATTTCAAAAGTTTTTTTATTTTTGAACAATTTTCCGCACGTAGGTCGAATCGTGAAATTGACATCATTTGTGAACACAAAATGAGCAATCCTTATTAGGATCTCACGCTGTCAAAAATGATTCAATACGAGGTATTCTGGAATACAACAGTTTAATACATCAACTTTCCAAGTGTGATCACAAAGGTAGAGTATCTTGGTAAATGTAAACACTGTCGTCACGTCAAATAAATACTCGACTAAGCGGAAAAGTGGTACTTTTTGAACTGCGATTTCCCCGTACTGGGACAAAACTAGATAGCGGGAGTTGCACACACTCAACAACCGTACATGAGAGCACCATAATCCGTAAAAATATCGATGGCTATTATCGCAGGAAAAAAAGATAAAGCGAAGTGGAAATGTGAGATCTTCACATACAAGCCTGAGTATCAGGCGTTTCTGGGAGCGTTTCTGGGGGAAAGGGGTTAGAGAGAAGCGAGAAAGGGAGAGAGCGAAAGGAAGAAACGCCTGACACAGATGCTTTTACTAGAGCCTTCCACCCCCACACAGCATAATTTAAATCATCCAATCAAAATCACTTCCGGTCTTTGCGTTGTCAGCGTCACGTTTCAAAAAGCGGGAACTCCGAAGCTGGTATGGCTACTGACCCTGGGAAATTTTTATGTGAAATTTGCAACGAGAATTTGCGATCAAAAAGCGGTGCTTGCGTTGCCACGGTTTCTTTTTTTTGTGAGACCTCCAATAAAGAGTTTTCAAACGCCTGTAATGGAAAACCTGTCGTTTTTGTGGAATTATTAGGTGTTTTAGGAATTGTGCCATTGCAAGATCGTCAACGCTCTGTTTGTAAAAAGTGCGCCCGGAAGATTGTGAATTGCTACAAACTGTTGACAGAGTTACAGCAGGCGTTGACTGATACATCAGGCGGTAGGCTTTTGTACATTATGCTTTTGTTTCCCCGCTAAAATGCTCCACCTTAATGCTCCATTTTTCCCACTAAAATGCTCGGTTTCCCCCAAAAAAGTAACTAAAATGCTCGGATAATGCCCATTATACAAAGGTTTTTTTTAATTAATTTGAAAGTTTACACTTAATTACAAGTGTTGCAATTAACGACAACGTATACAGGTTTATGTTTCTTCGTGACCCGTGTAAGTTACACGGGTCACGAGAAAAACAAACATAGCCGCCTTTTGAGTCTTGAAAGGTAAAACCGCTGACTTGTCCTCGGTCTCCACTCAGCTGTATTAAGTTTTTTCGTGAATTAAAAGCGGGACTGAAAAAAGTTAATTTCTACTTTATTTTCTCGCAAAAAATTCATTTTCCGGGAAAATGCCACTAAAATGCTCGAATAATGCTCAACGCTTTTGCCTCACTAAAATGCTCGAAAAAATGCTAGCATAATGTACAAAAGCCTATCAGGCG